TATAGAACAGTTTCTGGGACACCGATCTCGCAATGTTTTGGTTTGGTGTGATGTTTCTGCATTGCAGTGTTTTGGTGGTCATCCCACAGGCTCAATGGAGCTTCTCTTTTGGATCCTCTCGGGTGAGATGGACTGCTCTTTGGGCTCCTCGAGGCGGAGTTTGGCAGAAGGCACAGACCACGAACGTGGCAGTCCGATGCTGCGAACGTTTTGGGTTTGTGTTCGGGCCATCCCTTAGGCCCTGTGATGGGTTTGCTTGATTGGTCAGATGACAGATTTGTTTGGTCTGGGCTCAGCTTATTGCATGTGCCAGGCAACCATAATTCTTTACATGTTTGCCCTGGCACCCTGAGGAGGATGGAAACAAAATGAAACAAATTTCAACTGTGGTTTGATTCGACTGCAGTGGGAAACCAGCACCAGATCCGACTGGCGACTAGAACCCTTAGTAAACGATTGTGAAGGGATTGCTACGCGAGTCAGCCCTGCTGGCAATGATAGGGGTTGAATTGAGGATGACAACTCCATGACAAATTTACATCAACGTGCTAGACATTGTTTTTGTACTCCTAGATAGTCTATATAAAGCCCTAGATAGTAAAGGAGTATCCCTTTATAAAGCTGACTGACACCTGCGCTGCACAGAGGCGAAGCAGTTTGGATTCAGCCTGGTCACGAGATGCTCAGCCACTTGGGGAATTCGTGGATGCGTCGATAGGAGGGGCCAGATGCTTTTGCCTGCTGAAGAGCCTTGCTTCCGAGGGCAAGAAAGTATGGGATTGGGCTATCATGCTGCTACTGTATGTTTTTGCCAATTCCTTTGGGCATGAGTTTAAAACGGAGAGTGCACGGCAATCACGTTTTGGCAAAAGATGCAAAAGGAGAGGTAGGCTAAGGTAGACCAATGGAGAGTTTTCCTTGCAAAAGCAGCAACGTATTCCATTAGGATGTGACCGCTCTAACCACCGTAGTCGAGCTTTCCGAGACCTCTATATTCTAAGACACATGTCAAATGAATTCAGACCCCGAAGCTGGTGGATGTCGAGCTTTGAGGTACGGTCCTGGCGCCCACCGCAGCCATTTGTCAGCTGCAGGGGCCCCATAGCCAGCTCGGTGGAGGACCAAAAGCCCTGGTAGATGAACATCAGTCAGTAGAGAAGTCTATGGAACCGATGTTTCCACGCCCAACAAGCCATAGCCAACTTGTACGGTGCACGGACGACTGGCAATGACTAGCAGCTTGTACGGTGTACGGCACGCATTTTCTGAGAAGAGGAAAGATGAAAGGTTGGTGCCTAGTTTCCATTCTTGTTCCAGGCTCGGGGCGTTGGCTGTCACTGAGGCCTTGGGGTGCAGATCCAGAGGTGCTGCACTTGGGGCCGCTCGGTATGACCGCGGGTAGATCACATCAGGCATCCAAGCGGTCCAGGTTGGAACACCGTCTTTGCATTCAACATCATACCGGATGACAATCGGAGTCCTCCAGATACTTACAAAAAGGGTAAAACAAAATTCTTCCAGATACTTAGAAAAAGGGTTATGAATGATCTTTGACTCTTCTGATTCTGATTCCCCTGCATTTCGACACGCTCCCCAATGGCCCAAGGTCCGCCTTGGGGAGCAAAGTTGTGCCGCCCTTGGGGTGGACCTGGTTTGGCCATCCCGAGACGCCTGGTTCAACAACTCTGACCGAGACGCGCCGGGGGGCGAAACATGGACCGTGGCCCAGTGGGTTCAACCAGCGAACTGAACTTCAACGGGCGGAAGGGTTTCAGAGTCGAAGATGTTCAGGCAAGCTCACATCCCCATCTTTTAGGAACGTTATTGTGCCATGCGTCATCAAACTCCACGCAAATGCGCATGAACCCAGAAATTGAGGGAGGCTTTCCCTTGCGCCAATCCAAAGGTCCCTTGGAAAGTTCCTGGCACCAACATAGGTCCACATGCATCTATTTTACACTTGACTCCGGGCAGACATATACAGACGACATTGACAACTTCAGGATGCTGATCAATTTGTCGAACCCAAGGTTTCTATAGATCAAGAATGAGTGACCAAAGCAATGAACATGTGATAGATATTGATATGAACCATGAATGTAATATGTGAATGGATCATGATTTATGATGTAGACAGGCGGTCGGAACATTGACACTTCAGGTTCACCCACACAATGATCCAGAAGGCTTCTGGCCCGATATTGTTCAGGAACTGGCTTGGAGCCCCTCCTGGACACATGCCAGTGGACCAGGCCTGGGCCGATAAAAGCTGAGCAATGCTATATAATGCTTTGCCAATGCAGACTGATTGTGTATTACCCCCATTTCCATTTTATATATACAGTATATAGTTATATATAATCTCACGCTCAGCTTTTTCATTCCAGCGTCACTACGGTTTTGGGACAATTGACCCCCCAAAAAGGATCCTATTTTGCAAGTGCAAGCTTGTGGAACTTTTTGGGTTCCAAGTTCAAGCTTTGGATTTGCAACATGCATCTCAAAGTACAATGGTTTCAGAGTAGTTGGCGCAGACCTCAAGATGTCCTTTAGATGGGGGTCCATATAAACCACCTAACTTGGGGATGTGCCATCTCCAGGGTAGGTCTCAACGCCTTTTCTCTCCCACCGGCCCACCGCCAGGTGACCCTTGCCCAGGAAAAGGCGAAGATGGCCCACAAGGACGAGCCTCGTGGGCATCGGATGGAAGTGCCTGATCAGCTTGGGATGATTGATCACACGGACTCTTCTTCATATGAAGCCACCAAGCAGAAGATGGAAACACACCCAATGACGGATTTCATGAAGGTTGTCCAAGCATTGACGATTTGCAGTTCAACGGACTGGACTCCACCCGCGCCCGCCGTGCAGACCCTGCAGACCTGCTCCATGCGGGCCACAAAGATGGCCTCCACAAGACCTGTGAAGGCGCGGATGGGGGAGGACGGGGCCATGCGCGGACATTTTGGCTGGTGAAGCGGGGCCCCAAATGAGATCCAATGAGGGAGGAAACGAGAGCAAGGCTTGGACTTTTTGGGAGTAATATAGTTGGCTTGAAAGAATTGAGGGATTTGGATGGCCTGGACATGCCTGGTCTTTTTCTGTGTTGGCCACGCCAACAGCAGTAAGAACACTTCTATCGGTGTAGGCGGTCATCATTTGGGGTACAAAACTTGTCATGCTATTTCAAGCAACCTCACATGTGACCTTCGCTAGTTCCAGGAATTTGGGGTTTTAACAATATCTGGCGGCATATCTGGTCGTTTTGAGGAAAGTACTCGTGCGTGATCATGTTGCGCGGTGACCAAGCATGATTCGGGTGCTCTCCAGGTCAGTTGCTATTTGCAGCGCTGGCCTTGCGGCCGTCGGATCGACCTTTACGAAGTCGATTGAGAAAAGGATGGTTGATTTGGAGATTGGAAGGTGTTTGTCCATTAGTCTTCAACCATTTTTTTCTATCAAGATGTGTGAGCCTTCAGTCCAGAAAACGTGCAGTCCTGAAGATGTTTGACCAAAATTGAAGACGAGTGGGGTGTCCAGGCTCAAAGTGCAAGAAATATTATGTTGGTAAAACCTGGGTGTGTTGGAAGTACGTGCTTGCCCGTCGGGGATCTTGAGATTGAATGAGCATAGCTCCAGAAGCTGTTCTTTGTTCAACACGTAAGATGCACGGCGACTTGTCGCACCAAAAGAGCCAAAGATGAGTTGATAGATTTGCTTCTGAAAGGGCACTTTGGAGGTTCAACGGTTCCTGTCAGCAGGTAAAGCTAGACCAAGGATAAACCCAAGCAAACCTTTCCAATTACTTGCCATAGGCTCTAGCATGTGGTATGTGCCGTGCATGAAGCGATGCATGTGGTGAGGATGTTGGGCATTCCATTTGGAAAATTGGATTCTTGGGGACTTTGAGTATGCTTACCCATGAACGAGTCATGTGAGCTTGTGTCCTGAAGTTTGCACATGTGCCAGCACAGGTGATTCCACATGCTGAGATTGCCTTGGATGCTGCGGACGTCAGTGTCAGAAGCTTGGGCTGGAGCTGATGCCGTGCCGAGATACGCCGGGGAAATGTTGCCGGGCCCGTGGCCAATTCCCTGGAACTCATTCACTGTTCTAATCTAGTTGTATTTTGTGCAAATGGGGTATATCATATCCGGGTATACCAAAGACACGCGCACGAGGGGGAGAGCCGTGGTCAGAGCACCACCACAGTGGGCGATGAGAATCAAAGTTCTCCTCAGCCTCCTCAGATTCTGAACCGGGCTCAAAGCGCTTGCTCCTAGTAGCGATGCCAGGAGCCCCTAGTAGCTTCTTGTTCCTAGTAGTAAGGCCAGGAGCCCCTAGTAGCGTCCTTGCTCCTAGTAGCGGCATAGTCCCAATTTGTGCTTTATAGCGCCCTATAGGGTTTCAATACCTCACACTACCAAGAAGTGAACATTATCGGTGTTGAGAACTCGATACTGAGGGAAGGAACACTGTACAATCGGTGATATGACCTGCACATACCTGCCCTGTATTGGACTATTACTATTACTATTGGATTTATTAGTGTACAATATAACCTTAATAACAATAGTGATAGCAACTTAGTAATAGTAATGCAAAAAAGGATAACATAGCTTTTGTATATTATATATATATATATGACTATAGTGGAAGTCAGAGTGCCCACATGACCGAAACTTGCCCGAACCACACTGGCCACTCGGAACTCGCTGGCCTTTCGGACTGTGTCCGCACCTGTCAGGTGGATGACGGGTGGCTGGATCCACTGGTGGACAGCTTAGGGTACTGTAGGTGTTCGTCACGTTCGTTGGGGCTAAACGGCTAAATGAGGCTCAGTAATATGCTGCTGCATGTAGCGGCCCAGTAGTTTCGTGGTCCATTCAGCTAGCGACTAGTAAATATTGTAGATTGTTAGCATTGAGAGGTTTGCTAAGATCGCCTCATAGCAATTGACATCTTCAAGTTTAGGAACTGTGGCAACGCTTTTGGACCCCCGGAAAGACAAGACTTTTGCGGGATGCGATCTTGCGGCAGACACGACATGCTCAGGGCAACAGTTTTGAATGACAACCCACAGCTGGTCCCGCATTCGGAGCAGACACTCTTTGGGCTCAAGTTTCGACCCTGATCCATTTTTGGACTGCTGGTTCTTGAGGATGCCAAGCCAGAACCCATTCCCATGGCTGCCTCGACGATGGGTGAATTTGCTGTTCCCCTGGGTGCGTTGGAGCTTGATGTGGTTCTACTCAGTGACACATGCTTTGCGCTTTCCGTTGCGCTTGGCGTTGGGTGCGCCCTCCGCCGACCCAGCCCAAGCTCTTGCTTGTGGCTGGTGCCACAGCGTTAACATTGGCCGTGGACTTCCAAAACGGAACGTGAAGGAGGCCTTGGTGACTCCAATGGGTTTGCTGGGAGATTCGCAGACTGCTCCCTACATTGCAGTTTGGGGAGGCCACGCGGGCTTCAACAAAGCTGTGATGTTGTGGAGCAACGAGGTGATCCAATCCATCAATGACACTGGTGCATCCTTCTTCCCTGGGGCTAGCGGTGAGCAGATCACCTTGCGTGGCGTGGATTGGAGCCTCGTGAAGACGGGTGTGAGGCTGTCAGTGGGTGATCTTCTTCTAGAAGTGACCTACATGAAAGGACCGTGTAAAAATATGGACCGCTACTTTCCATCGCCCAGTGACAAGAGCAAGATTGATCCCAAAAAGAACCCTGACTCGGCACGAGTCTTTGCCAAGGTCTTGAAGCCGGGACGAGTGAGAGTGGATGATCCAGTACTTCTTTTCGAACATCCTGCAGGGAAGCAGCCTTTGCAGATTGCTTGTTAGGCTGCTCGGATGTTCTCGTTGTGATGTTTTGCGAGGGCAAAGCACCGCAGCTCCATGGCCGCAGAACAACTTTTGTGACCAAGTTCCAAGGCAACAACTTGCCTGGAAAAGCTGAGAATCAGGGGAAAACGTACAGCAAATCCCTGACGTCAGCCTGACAGCCTTTCTATGTACAGTAGATCTATCCTAGCTTCAAAGACAAAATAGACTGAAATCTATCACTTGCCCATCCATGGGCCTTCCAGGATATTGGGATTGCATGGGGGTGCCTGTTTGCTCTTTGGGCCAAGCAAGTGGGATATGGAAAGCACGCTGTTGGTCAAGGAACTTAGGGATCGTGGGCTTGGAGGTGAGTCATCCCTCGAACTCATATATAAACCATTATAAACCCTTGAATGTGCGTTCATGAATTGAAAGCAATCATATCTTGGGGCTTACCATGCCTTACCGTACTGCATGCGGCGATCCAAATCCATTTTGTCATTGAAGAAAAGCAAAGCATGATGCCACAATTGTTTGTTCATCGTTGTGTTTTTCTATAGTTGAGATACTATGAATGGTGGAGGATGGGAAAAGACATGATAATCTCACAAACAGCCGGGAAAAGAACAGGCTGATTGTGATTGATTATGTGTCCCAGCTTGCTGGTAGCAGCGCATTAGCACCTAACCATGTTGCATGGTGCATCGTTCCAAGGCGGAGTTCTTCTCTGAAACTTGGGCTTTGGGCCGACGACGAGGTCTGCTTGGCAGTTTTGCGAAGAAGCGTTGAATTCGATTGTATGTAACATACATATTGAACTAAGCCCTGCATAAAGATTGCAACATCATATCATGAATCATTGTCCTATCCCTTCCAGAAAGTGTGCAGTGTTCTTTTTCTGATACATCCCGTCTCCTCCTGGAGCCGGACTGCTCAGATGGCATCGCGCTTGGTCGCGATGCGGCCGTTTTGAGGTCAGCTTTGCGTAACTCAGCTGGAGGGAGTGTCACCCTGGAATCTGTCAGTCAGTTTGTCAGTTAGTTGGGAATTTGGCTGGCTTTTAGCACTTGCAAGAAGAAATGGGTTCAATTCGGCAACTATCATAGACTTCATGTGAATGGACTTTTTGGCTCCACGGTAGTTCAAAAATCCAGTTCATCAATTATAGGGCTACGATTCCAAGAGAAAAATTTCATTCACTTGCACTGGCCATCCTCAAAAGATTCAAATGATGAGACATCAGTCTCCGGGCGGGTTTAGCCCTACATCGATCTGATGGTGGACACCCGGACGCCGATCCTCAGGTGTTCTGGGAATTGCAACCACCCATCTCACTCAGTTTGAAGTCATTTCTCTCTTTGCAAGAGAGGGATGTGCTGGGCCTATGCCCCGTAGCCATCCGTAGCGATCTTCCTGTAGAGGCACATGAGTTGTGCATCGCTTTTTGTTGCGATGTTTTGTGGTGAAGGGCCTGATGTTTCTATGCATGCCTGATCAGTTCTTATAGTGATCAAGTGATTTCAATCACTTATGTAACAGCTTCGCACTTCCTTGACCCAAACAGACATACCTTGAGCCAGTGAACCAGATGTCCCTTCAGCAGCTAGTAAGGGTAAGTGCTTTGGGTCGGCTTGCTGACCTGCTAAAGCGCAAGGTTTGGCTGGCAAACCCATTGTGGAAGAGTACACTGTTGGGTGCTCATTTGATCAGACCAAACATTTTGCAAGGGCAGCAGAGAGGTTCGGACTCCTCTCTAAGCCTATAGCCTTGCCAGTCGCATGTGTTGGGTGATGCCGTGGGTTGTGCGGGGTTCCATTGTAGGCACATGGACAAGTGTTGCGGGACAGAGGTGCACTCACTAGACTAGAAAAGGAGGATCGGTAGGAAGGGGAACCTATGACACTATGAAAGTACGAACAAAAGTCCACACGATGCTGCTCCCAAGTGACCATGAAAAGAGATGCATGTTACATGTTTCAAAACCGGGGCACGAGTGCTGGCCCTAAATGGCAGAACCTCTCATTGCAAGCGTTTTCGCACGCCATGTTCCTCACCAAAACAGTGTCGCCATCGTCGATGAACTTTGAGGCTCCATCATGCCCTCGCATTGTGCCCTTGGGTTGTGATCCTTGCACATCTTCAATGCAGCAAAATGATCAGAAAGTACAGTGGCTTAGGGCCCGCCGCAACAGCAAAGTCGATTCGATGGGTTGTCTCGGATCTCCTTTCCACACACCAAGAACTTGGCATGAGCACGTGGTTTCTGCACTATGGTCAACAGCTGCGCCAGTGGAAAGACATTCGGAAGTTCCATGAGAGCACGTGCCTTTCCATGCCGAGTTCGGGTAGTCGCACCCAGGTACAGGTGGATGCCCTCCACGTCTCCCCGATACGTTTGGCCGCAGGGAGACCCGGAGGCTGAAGGAACAGCACCGAGACGGCCCTCAGTTTGCATTTTGCAAGCTGCAACATCTTCAAGTCTTCCCATAGCGCTAGCCGCACCCCACAAGATGTCGAGGTTTGGTGTTCGATGCGCTTGCAGAATGTGGTGACCTCAGCCTGGCACCACAATGGCCGGATTTGGCACCAATGGCCGGGTTCTCTTTGGCTGCTTGTAGGTGGAGGGTCCAGACCAGCTTCAATTGTGCAAGATTGTGCAGGTATAAATAGAATTTCCTGGAAAAACAGTTCACAAAACACAATGTCCAGGTGTTTGGTTAGGTTTCCGCACCTGGGTTTGGAGCTGTCACCCAGCTGAGGTCCGCTTCATGCCTAGCTATGCCCATGCTCTCAGTTCCGGCCAGATGGGCGTTGCCTCACCTGATGTGCGTCCGACGGATGTGCACTCCACATAGGGCTACCGTGTTAGGCCCCACCTCATTGAAGCCACTAATGGCAAGCATGTGTCGTCGTCACCGAGGAGGTCCCACCTCCAAAGATTCCTTACCAATTTGGTAAGATCCAACATAGCCACATAGCACAACAACGACAACAACAACAACAAGGTACAAACAAAAACTGCAGCCCCGTTACAACGTATCTTGTTCCTTTGTCTCTACAAGGGGGTGGAAACAAAATCTGCAGCCCCGTCGTTGTTTTTTTACCCCCCCGAAAACAACCAGCCAACATGTACTTTTACCAGTAGTGGTAGTGCTTGTACTAGTGCTAGTACTAGTGACTAGTGGTACTAGTACTCGTACTACTAGTAGTAGTAGTAGTAGTGGTAGTGGTAGTGGTAGTGGTAGTGGTAGTGGTAGTAGTAGTAGTAGTAGTAGTAGTAGTAGTTGTAGTAGTAGTAGTGGTAGTGGTAGTGGTAGTGGTAGTGGTAGTAGTAGTAGTAGTAACGGGTCAGCTAAGCCTCTGTAAAACGTCTAATGCGAAGACCGGATTAATAAACCCCGGGGATTTCTGGTAGAAAACTAGACCATAGGGGGGGAAATCAACAACCAATACTACTTTTAATTTGGGCAATTTCCGGCGGCTTTGTGGGCTCGGGTTAACTAGGGAGGATTTATTAATCCTGACTTTGCATTACTTAGAACCTCTACCACATCCTAGAGACAAAAACTGCAGCCTCGTTGTTGTTTTTTTGACTTGTCTCCAACACAATTTGCAGACCCGTTGTTGTTTTTGACCCCCCCAGAACAACACCCCTAAAACATCAAAAAACAAGAAACAGACCAACCAAGACTTGAGTACCACAACGACAAGAGGTCCAGCTACGAACATCTCTCCAAACCTTCAACCCTATCCCTAACAGTGTCCCTTTGAAATCCCTGACTTGCAACGTGTGACAACTATGTTGGGCAGCTGTTTTTGCCTCTACCAACAACAACAACAACAACAGCAACAACCAGATACTGGCCAGATACGGACCATAACTCAACTCTCATATACCTATCTCACCTGTGCCTATTAGGTTCGAGCAGCCATCCGCCTTATCAGTTTGAGTGGGCGTTTCACCTTGGTGTGGAGGCCTGGAAACTGTGTGCATCGAAAGGGCCTGCTCCACTGCCTGAAGAGGGCGTCGCAGAACGGTGGAGGAACATGTTTGGCAAGACCGGTACCAGATGACTCACTGACATGGAAGTGGAAAACCATGGAAAACCAGCTGTTTGTAGAGGAAAAGGGTCTTCCCAGTGGCCCTTGTCATTGTCCATTTCCATGTTGGTAAGTCGGAGTGTAGTGTTTAGTGGTGGAACGCACCGAGGATGGAGCGAGCCTTTCGTTACCCAGGAGATCTTTGCCCGGAGGCCCAGATGGACCGAGCTGAGGAACTTGCTGGTGGCCTAGGCTGCAAGGCTACCGGCTAGACCGAAGGCTGTCAGGTCAAAAGGTCTATATATGTCTATATGCTGATGCTGAGGTTTCAAAGAGTCCAAGTGTATACCTGGATTCAGTTCGGGCCACTCTGTCGCTTCGAAACCGGCTCAGCAGGTTCGGGCCGCGTCGGCGTCACGTTTGCTCCGAGGCCTCCCTACCGGGGATCCTTGGGAGACTTGAGCCGCAGCCTTGCTGCGGAGTACACCGCTGGAGGGCTCAGTAGTTACGGGATGTTAAGGGCTAAGGGGGATGTAGGGTGGGTGGGCTTCATCCGCGAAGAATCATTACCACGAAGTTATAGCAAAAACTACTAGTGGCGACCGTGGTGACCACCTGCGTGGGGATCGGCTTTGAACATTTTGACCCTATTACGTCATCCATTGCTTGGCGCATGTCCCCTACGACCGCGCACCCACCTGCGTGGCGATGTCGTCTCCCAGTCCCGGGCCTCGGGTGGCCCATGGAAGTCAGGTGAACTTGCTTCGCAATTTGGGCACCGTGCTTGGAAAGAGCTCCGTCTTCAAACTGTGCATGCCCCAGCTGGACTGAGCTGCTGCAACAAGCATGAAAACACTTATTGCAGATAATGGTTGGTCAAGATGGGTCTACAGAAGCCTTGAGCAATTGCAAGGCATTAATAACATATCCTTTTCATTTCAGCTGAGTCAAGCCGTTTACGGAGGCAAGATATGGTGAGGACATGTCGAGGACCATGATGAAAAAAAGTACTTAAAAGGAACATCCTTTTGTCGCTTGGTCCCAGACATTTGACATGTTTTTGTGCAAAAGAAGGGGGTTCTAGGACTAACTCCAGGTCCAGGTCCAAGTGGCTTCAGCATTCAGATCACTCCATACCATGAGGGCACCATGCTTTCGTTGGGGGCCGTATAAGCATCCGTCCTTACGTGCCGCCGCCCAACGG